GTGTGTCACATGGTATATTGAATGAAGCTCTGGTTCAAATTAGATGTTAGTGAAGTCAAAATACTAAGTCTATATACTTAATGCTCCAACATAATCACCTGTGCCTTATGGAAAGCCACTTATATCCAGGTTTTATAGAACTTGGAAGTAAACATTAAACAGGAAGAAACATCCATACATTTATAAACTGGCACACGCACACATGTGGGTACGGATTTTGAGACCAAACAGGGAAATGGGAGGTGGGGGCACAAAAAAGTCTGTATTAATTATTGTGAATGTCAGACAAATTATTTCCCTCAAAAAATAAATGTGCTTTGTATTATCACATAGAAGAATAGCCTAATTAACTGAGACAATAATATTATCACACAGAAGAATAGCCTAATTAATTGATACAATAATATTATCACACAGAAGAATAGCCTAATTAATTGATACAATAATATCATCACATAGAAGAATAGCCTAATTAACTGATACAATAATATCATCACATAGAAGAATAGCCTAATTAACTGATACAATAATACAATATTTCACTTTATAGAATGAATCTATTTGTTTGATCAAAAATGAGACCACTTTGTCCTCATCTCATTGGCTTATTTCAATGTTACACGGATTGACAAAGTGAAAAACAGACCAAAAAATCTGCCAATCAAATTGTTTTAACAGTGCACTATTTAAATGAAAACTGTTCACCAAGGGATTATCTAAGTAATTATGAATTGTTAAACTGAATCACCTAGTTTTAGTGACTCTTTTTGAAGAGGCCACTTGTACTGCTCCAGTAACTCCATGATGATCCATAACAGCTTGTTGCTGTTGACGACCACTCCCAATGTAACAGTGAGCAGGATTAGGGTTAGCAGTTGCAACCATTCCCCAGTGTTGTTGAAGGCCTGGGGCTGCCAGTGTTGTAGCCTGCTGTAGCAGAAGAGAATCGGGTTAAAAACCCACACAGAAAATATCGATAAAATAAATTGCACATTACAATAACAACTAAAAGTGCAAAGGTATTTAACGTTTTTAAAAATATCGTAGGAAAGTTATATTTTTCTTTAAACATTTAAAAAATTTAATGGAAAGTTATCTATTTTATTGGTTATCTTGCAGAAAATAGTAAATTCTTTCATGATTTTTTTCTTTCACTATTTTGCATGCAGGTGAGTTTTATTCCAAAGAATGTAATATAAAAAATGCTTAACAACAACATATGTAAAAGGTCATAATTAAGATAGCACCAAAGTAAGCATTTCAAGACAGAGAAGTCCTAGAGTTTCCTGCATTCCAAGACAGAGAAATCCTAGAGTTTCCAGTGTTTCCAAGACAGAGAAATCCTAGAGTTTCCTGCATTCCAAGACAGAGAAATCCTAGAGTTTCCCGTGTTTCCAAGACAAACAGAGAAATCCTAGAGTTTCCCGTGTTTCCAAGACAAACAGAGAAATCCTAG